AGCTTCAGGTCCCCGTGTGTCACGTCCTTGGGCGTCTTGTGACCTCCCATCTCGGCCCTTACCTGAGTCACTAGATTCATGCACCTCATCCAAGCTCAGCAGCATCTTTGCCTGGTTCAGACTCAAGGTGACATTTCTGTTTCCTTGTTCTTGCACCTTCAGGGACAGGTCTATGAGATGTCAGAGTTATTAAGGGAGTGTGGATAGTATTTGTGGCTGTAGAGGCTGTAATAATACTATCATTTATATGTGTGTTTACATACATCTGGCTGTCCACACACGAAAGAAGAACAGGAACTCTACCTCGTACAACACACAAAAATTAACTCAAAGTGGCATGACAAATTTAAGGCATGCCTTGGTGGCTCAGTTGGTTGAGCATCTGACCTTTGATTTCAGCTCAGGTAATGACCCCAAGGTTGTGGGATCAAAGCCTGTGTTGGGCTCCGTGCTAAGCTTGGAGCCCGTTTGGATTCTCTCTCTCTCTCTTTCTCTCTCTAAAACAGACAACGAAAGAAACAAACAATCCTAAACTTAAGGGCTAAAAGTACAACAGTTGGAAGAAAACACAGATGTAAATCTTCACAGCCTTGGATTTGACAATGGATTCTTAGATACAGCACCAAATGCACATGCAACTAAAGAAAAAAAGAGGAAATGAATTTCAAAACAGAAGCACCTGTTCATTAAAGCAAAAAAAAAAAAAAAATCACTCTTGTGTGGATCCTGAGAAACTTAACAGAAACCCGTGGGGGAGGGGAAGGAAAAAAAAAAAAGGAGGTTAGAGTGGGAGAGAGCCAAAGCATAAGAGACTCTTAAAAACTGAGAACAAACTGAGGGTTGATGGGGGGTGGGAGGGAGGGGAGGGTGGGTGATGGGTATTGAGGAGGGCACCTTTTGGGATGAACACTGGGTGTTGTATGGAAACCAATTTGACAATAAACTTCATATATTGAAAAAAATAAAAAAATAAAAAAATAAAAAGTAAAAAAAATAATCTATGGAATGGGAGAAAAAAATTAGCAAGTCACATGTCTCACAGAGTGTACTATTAGAACATAGAAATAATTCTTCCAGCTCAACAACCAAAAGCCAAACAATGAATTAAAACAACAGGCAAAGGGACTTGCATAGACATTTCTCCAAAAAAAATACACACATGTTCAATAATTACACAAAAACATGTGAGCCATCACTAGTCATCAGGGAAACGTAAATCAAAACCACAATGAGATATCACCAGGCACATACTGAAAAGACTAATAAAAATAAAACAGGGGCACCAGGGTGGCTTAGTTGGTTGAGTGTCCAACTTCGACTCAAGTCATGATCTCATGGTTTGTGGGTTCGAGCCCCACATCAGGTTCCGTGCTGACAGCTTAGAGCCTGCTTGGGATCCTCTCTCTCTACCTCTCTCTGCCCCTCCCTGGCTTGTGCTCTCTCTTTCAAAATAAATAAATACACTTAAAAAAACAACAACAAAAAAGTGAAAGTGCCAAGTGTTGCTGAGGGGGTAGAAATTGGGGTCCATTGCCGGTGAGGATACGAGATGGAAAAATAGCCTCTTTGGAAAATAGTTTGGTGGTTCTCAAAAAGTCGAACATAGAATCGCTGTATAACTCAGCAATTCCAGTCCTAAGTAAGTACCCCAAAGAACCGAGAACAGTTATTCAAACAAAAGCGTGTGAACCAATATTCACAGTGGCACCATGTGCAAGAGTCAAAGGGTGGCAACACCCGAAATGTCCATCAGTGGATGAACGGGGACACAAGAAGTGCTGTATCCATCTACAATTAAATGTTGCTCAGCTGCAAAAGGGAATGAAACACTGAGAGATGCTACAACGTGGATGAACCTTGAAAACATCCTGCTAGGTGAAAGAAACCACATAGTGTATGATTCTCTAGGTATGAGAAGTCCAGAATAGGCGCATCCATAGAGACAAGACAGACCAGTGGTGGCCAGGGGCTGGGGGAGCAGAGGAATAGGGAGTGACTTCTGGGGGTGGGGTGGGGTACAGTATTTACTTCGAGGGCGATGAAAATAGTTTAGAAATAGAGGCAATGATCACAACTCCATGAATGTACTAAATGCCACTGAATTGTATACTTTGTTTAAAATGGTGGATTTTATGTTATGTGAATTCTGCCTCAAATGAAACAAATAAAATACTTAACCGTGAGAGAACATTAACTGAATATGATTCCAAATTAAGTAAATTGTTTTCTTGGGAAGCCATTTCTATTGTATTTTACGTTCTTCATTACCATTAACTCAACTGCTCAAAATTTAGTTTCTATTAAGATGTATATTATAGCTTTATTCATTTCTTCTTTTAATTGAGGTATAACGAACATAGAACATTATATTAGTTTCAGGTGTACATGGTGATGATTTGTTATTTGTATGTGTTGCAAAATGATCACCACAGTGAGTGTGGTAAACACCTGTCCCCACATAGAGTTACATTTTTTTTCCTGTGATAAGAACTTTCAAGATTTACTCTTGTAGCAACTTGGAAACATGTAATATAGTGTCATTATTCTCATGCTGTACATTACATCCCATGACTTAGTTATTTTATATCTTTTGACCCCCTTCACCCATTTAGCCCACTGCCCCACCCCCACACACCTCACCCCTACCTCTGACACTCACTAATCTGTGTCTATAAGCTTGTGTCCTTTTTTTTTTTTAGGATTCCACATATAAGTGAGACCAGATGGTATTTGGCCTTCTCTGACTTAGCATAATATATTCATTTCTTTTTAACCACTTTTAATTGGTTTAGGGAGTGTAACACTGAGATACAAGCGTGGTCACTGGCTCCAGTGAGGCTGGGGGATAAACGAGGTGGGGAAGGGCAGGGCAGGAGCCCGGGGCAGACCCCAGTACTTGCCTGTGCCTGCAGATGCATTGAAGGTCAATGTCCCATTGGGCAGGGCCTGGCTTATGTTTCTCAGGACGTCCTCCAGGCCAGCGAGCAGGTTCGTGGCCACACGGTGCTGCTCTGAGCGGGGCAGCGCCTCCAGGTCTTCCGGGGTCTGCAACAACTCATCCACCCCCTCTATGAGGCCCTGGGGGAAAGCAGACCCAGAAGTCGTGAGCCGTGGGCCAGACTGCATGAAGAGGCTGTCCATTGAGCCTCAGAAAAAAGATCCTGGAGAATAAAGTCTATTTACCTGGATGCTGTCCTGGGCAAAGGCCGGTATGAACTTTCTGGCCAGATCTTCGACTTTTTCAAAGAAGCGGGAGAGTCTCTGGGAAGAGGGCAAATGAGGAGGTCAGAGAGCCTCACGTGCGAGTGGGGAAGCTTGGGGAAAATGGTGGCCAGGGAGGGTGGGCAGCCCGTGCTTCAAGGAAGGATTTCCTGTCTCCTGGTCCCTGCTGGGGCCAACTCACCCGGCTCTTGATTCCACGGGGTGGGGTCCAGCTGGGGAAAAAGTTGCCTGCAAGAGACAAGAGTGCTTCATGAGGTGTGACAGCATCTATCTTTGTACGTGTTCGGGGGTAGGGGTCTGGGGTCAGGTCAGGCCAGGTACTTTCCCAGGCGGTCATTTGGTTATTCAGGGAGCCTGGTTTGGGCATAGAAGCGTCGGGAAGGCCCCACTGTCTCCTCCCTGGTGAGTGAGTGCCTTTTCTTATTCACACAGAGGTGTGCTGTGGGTGAATGTGGTGGCCTACATGCTCTGCTGCCCAGATATGGATGGAATCGGGCTGGGTCCTCCCTGTCTCCCAGCCCTGGCTGGGTGCCCTCGGCTTCCCCAGGCAGCTTTCAGCCAGGGTGGGACATCACGGGCATCTGTGTCCCAGCCTGAGCATTTGGACAAAGGCCAGTGTGGGTCTTCTAGGGAACCAAGTGCAGGGAAAATGGTGCATTACCCAACAAGGATCCTGTTGGATCTGGCTCCCACTGACGGCCTTTGTTTTAATTCCCTCAGGGCAGCTGCTCACCTGCTGGTCCCCAGTGATGCCGTCTGTTGCTATCTTGTCTCGACGGGAGCTTCTGATCATGTAATTTTCTATGTGTGTATGGGGGTGGATCCGTGTAATTCTGCTTAGACTCCACACAGCATTCTTCTGGCTTCTGGTCATCTGGTTTGCTCTCAGGAATGTGAACTGAAATTACTGGGGAGAGTCAGGGTAAGCCTTGTGCAGGGAAGGAGACAGGGACTGAGCACCTGAGAAGGGGGGGGGGTGTCAGGATGCCAAAACTGTTGGCCAGGGAGACCACTGGCTCAGAAAAGCTCAGCTCTCGAATCTTCCCACTCCAGTGTTTCGGGGTGGGGTCCCTGAGTCCAGTGTGGCCCAAGAGGTCTGAGAGTTTTCCTGGTATGGCAGAGCCCAAGTGGGCTTTGGTGGGGACTGGCAGTCACTGATGATGGTAAAGAGGAGGGATCTTGTGCTGGAAACAATATGCTGTGAGCTCCTTAAATATCTTGAGCGCCATCCTTCTCTCTGGTTTTACAAAAACAAGATGCTGGGGTGGGGGTGGGGGCGGGTGGGCAAGGGATACTCTGAACTTTCAGAAGTGACCCTCTGCAGAAGGTTCTGAGCCTTGGGGTTCAAAGAGGGGTGCGTGACCGGGTAGGTGCCGAGGACAGCTCTCTGATGCCTAGAGAAAGTGGAGCAAATGCCTTCCCACCGCATGGATGGGGAGATGGAAGGTGTGGGGTGGTTCTTACCTTGACACGTGTTCTCACTCTCACTCCTGAATGTTTTTGCCCCAGAAGCAAGCTCGTATCCTGGGCCGCACGTGCAGTGGTAGCTCCCCTCTGTGTTAAGGCAGTGTGCGAATTTTCCACAGGACACTCTGGGGGGTGGTCCACACTCGTTGATGTCTGAAAGCCACCAGGACAAAAGGTTACCTCCCAAAGGTGTGGGTTCCCATGGGCAGAGGCCCTGGCCTCCAGCCAGACTCTACCAACGGAACGGGAGAGAACTCAGCTTGCAGGTGGCATTTCAGGGGCTGGTCTGAGTGGGAGTCAGCTTGCTCCAGAAAGCTGCTGACGGCTCCGCTCATCTCTGCTCTCTGGCTGGGTCTGAGGGGCACCTAGATTCAGAATCTACTGTTCCATCATGCGGGCTGGAAGGAGGTCCGCCTCCCCTTCTGCAGACCTCGTGGGGTGGACAGAGGCACTGAGTCTGTCTGCGTGATTGGGAACCTGGGGGTGGGCTCCAGTCAGGGCGACAGTGGTATTGAAGGCCACTCTCCATAATGAGTCAGTGAAGGGAGTCATGGCTGGAGTCTGTTCAGGGTCACGCTTATTCGCACATGAGGATAAAGCCAGGTGGTCAGGCCTCTGCCCATTGACGGCTTTCACTTCCATTATTCACAGTGGCCCAAGGACACCCACAGTCCTCATCATCCACTCCCCCAAGCTCCTAATGTCAGGCATTTCTTTTTAATGTTTATTTTATTTGAGAGAGAGAGAGAGAGAGAGAGAGAGACGCAGAGAGAGAAGGGGACAGAGGATCCGAAGTGGGCCCTGCACTGACCGCAGAGAGCCTGAGTTAGGGCTCAAACTCATGAACCATGAGATCATGACCTGAGCTGGAGTTGGATGCTCAACTGACTGAGCCACCCAGGTGCCCCAGTCAGACATTTTAAAGATGCCCCAAGATGCCTCAGTGGGAGTCTTACTATCTCCACTCCTGAGGAAGTCCCCTCTTGTCAGAGACACTGAGGACGTGACATGGAGAAGCTGCATAAAGTGTCTCACAGCTGAGTCACTGGGGATGTTTTCGGGCATCCTACGTCTCCCTGTTCTTTAAACATGACAGGAAAGCTGTCCATCAGCCAGGTTCTCTTCGAGTAGCTCAGGGACCCAGAGAGCAAGGCTGGACACCGTCAGCTATCGACAACCTCAACAACTTGATCAGGTGAATCAAAGGGCAGGGACAGAACGTTTGGTCCCAGACACTCCCAGCGGGGGATCAGAGACTTTTAGAGCCTGCAGGGGCTCATGACCTCGTGCTGAGTGGGGGCAGGCAGCTGGTCTCCCCCAGAGCAGAGTCTCCTACCCGAACTCGAGGACTTCCTTCTAAGGCCCCAGGCCCAGGCTGTGGGCGTCAGCCCCAGGACGGGACAGCAGGCGGGAAGAGGCACGGCCCTGTCTGGGCCATGGGACCGCCCTCCTGTCTTCTCAGATGGGGGCAATGGCTGGACACCTGTCTCCAGGGTTGTGGGATGGGGTGGAGTCAAGTGGGGGACGGTTGAGAATGAGGTCCAAGGTGTGGAAAGCATGAGGCCTCCTCAACCAGACAGATGTGCTTCCAGAAAGGAGCTGGGGTCCAGTTACATTAGCGGTAGGATCTCCTCGTCATGCTCACCCAGCCATGAATCTTCATGAGACCCGTGTGCAAATGCACAAAGGCCGGGCAATGGTCACAACAACACCTTTTTTTTTTCTCTGATAAAATATTTTCCTCAAGCACTAAGTGACACATGGGTACTTAGAAAACAAAGAAAATGTGAAAAATGAGAACAAAGAAAATCAACTGTAAGTCCACTATATGAGCTACTGGAAGATTTAAGATAGTTTTCCCCTCAGCTTTTCAAACATATTAGGAACACTTTCCTTTATTATCAATAAATTTGCATCTAAGATGATTTTGAGTAGATGAAGAATATTTCTTGGTGTGAGAGCTGCTCATGTCCTCCTTTCCCCATTCTTTTTTTATTGTGGTAGAATGCCCTTAACATAAAATTTACCATGTTAACCATATTTAAGTAATATAATTTTCTTTTATGATTTTGCATTGTTGAAGAATAAAAACTCTTCAGTTCTGTTATTTTTTATTTTTTTTAAAACACTTTAGTTTTAGATCTTCATCTAGGCCCTACATCCTTATTGATTGTGACTTTGGCTAATTCAATCTCTTTGAGCCCAATTATTATCATTTAAAAAAATGAAGACATAAAATTTATAGAAAAAACATAGGGAATAAGCTCTTTGAAATTGGTCTTGGCACAGATTTTTTTGGATTTGACTCCAAAAAACAAAGACATGTTAGTGGGAACATATCAAACTAAAAAACTTCTGCACAGCAAAAGAAACCGTCAAAAAATGAAAAAGCAACCTATAGTTTAGTAGAAAATATTTGCAAATCATAAAGCTAAGAAGTGGCTAACATCCAAAACACAGAACTCATTCAACACAACAGAAAAAAGAAAACTATACAATCCAACTTAAAAAATGGGCTGCAGATCTGAAAAGACATTTTCCAAAGAAGACATCCAAATGGCCAACAGGTACATGAAAAGGTCATGTCATAGAAGTGCATCGTCATAGAAGTGCAAAGCCAAACTGTAATGAGGTATCATCTCGCACCTGTTGGAATGGCTATTATAAAAAAGATAAGAAATAACAAGTGTTGGTGAGGACATGGGAAAAAGGGAAACTTGTGCACCGTGGGTGGGAATGCAAACTGGTGCAGCCACTGTGGGGAAACATATTCAAAAAATTAAAAATGGAAGTACCACGTGATCCAGGAGTTCTACTTCTGGGTATTTATTTGAAGGAAACAAAAACACTAACTTGAAAGTCGGCATCCTCGTGTTCGTTGCAGCTTTATTTGTAACGGGCAAGGTAGGGAAACAACCTTAGTTTTTATCGGTGCCTGAGTGGATAGTGAAAAAGTGTCGTATGTGTATGGGGGAGTATCACTTAACCATACAAGGGAAGACAGTCCTGCCATTTGCAACACCATGGATGGACCTTGAGGGCATTACACTAAGCGAGTTAAGTTGCACAGAGAAAGACAAATACCGTACGATTTCAATAGATGTGGAATCTAAAAACAAACCCACAAACAAGACAGAAGTCATACAGAGAACAGATGCGTGGGTGCCAGAGGTGGGGAGGGATTGGTAGGGGTCTGCTGTGAACAGTGAGGCGGGAAACCATGACCTTGAGGGGTCGGGAGTTCCCCATGAGCTCACGCCAGGAGGAGAGCCTGGGCTTTCAAGTCCTGTGTTTTTTTCCTCCCGATGCTTCCATTCTTTCTCCCCTTTCCTTGTGCAAATGAGCACGATCATAGTAATAACAGCAGTAGCCATGATAAGAGCTTGTGTTGGACCGTCCACTTCATACTCGTCTTTATCGGTTCTCCACACGGGCAGATTTTAAATCTCCATCCGTGTGGGGTGGGTACAACGATGATCCCCAATTTACAGACAAGCAAACTGAGGCATAGAGAGGAGAACATCTTCTCCCTACCACTTCCCCCAACATCTCCATGCGCCCACCACCACCCCCCCAGGCCCCTGTACCGTCACAACTCTCCAAGCGGTTGGTGAAGACGTCCCCGGATGAAGAAGTGAACCCCGGAGAGCAGCGACAGGCCGTGGCGTTGACACATGAGGACTTTGGAGGGCACCACTGAGCACAGTCTGTGGGGGCAGAAGCTGTGGGGACCAAGACCACAGTCAGAAGCTGCAAGAAATGGAGGGAGCCAGCTGCCCGCTGGAGGTCCAGGAGTAGAGCAGGGGAGGAAAGAGAAGGATGGCTGCCATTGGAAGAGCTCAGAAAACTCTGCACATGTAGGGAGGAAGAAACAGCTTCTTTTATACCCAGAAGACCATCTGTGAGCCTCATTTGTGCAATAAGCTCCCTTCCCGTACCCCCTTATCGGTGAGAGAACCCAGACCCCAGCATGCACTCCCCAGCTTATGTCACCAATGGGGCTGGCTGGGCAGACTTACCACTCAGTTTCTGTACAGGCCCCAGTGTCAACAGCAGCAGCACCAAGAGCCCTGGGGCAGAAAAACAGACAGATGACAGAGGAGAGTCAAGGGCCCGTTTCAACCCCTGTCTGCCTGGTCATTGCCCCCTGGAGGGAGGCTCTCGTACCTTACACAGAACCAAGACACGGCCTGTCTGTCCCTCTCCCTGGACTCCCCCAGGAGTCAGTCAAGGACAACCACAGCCTTCGCGGAGCCTCGGGTACACTAGGTGAGGGGACAGAGTACACACGGGCAGCTGACATCAGGGATACAACACAGAAACCCCAACCTCTCCCAGCGGAGGGGAGTAAACCTTGAAGTAGAAAATCTTCAAATCCAGTGCCTTCCCCATAGGCAGGTTCTTTGTTCTCTGGCGACGGCAGAAATCTGCTTGGAGAAGGCCCTGCTCTCTCCTCTCTGGTGAGTGGGTGCCTTTTCTATTTCACATGGGGCATCCTATGGGAGGACGGTGTGGCCGGATGCTCTGTTCCCCACGTGTGGATGGCAGTGGCCTAAACCCTCTCTGTCTGTCAGCTCTGGGTGCCCTCAGCTTTCCTGGGTGGCTCCCAGATGGAGCAGGGACATCACGGCCACCTGAGTCCCAGCCTGAGGACTTGGACAAGTCCAGGGTGGGCCTTCCTGGGAGCCGAGTGCAGGGGAAATGCTGCGTTCCTGACCAGGACCTGTCATGGCATCCGGCGATGGCCTTTGTCCTGACTTCCCCAGGGTGGATCTCACTGCCTGCATAACCTTTGGAATCCTGGTGACCCTCGCAGGACATCACGCTCCCGTCCACGCTCACCCTGAGACTCCAGCTCTATGGACATGGACAAGTCCCACACTTGAGCCAGGACCTTCCAGCCAGGCTTGAGGGAAAGGGTCAGGAGAATGAAGGTCCTGCTGGATAGGCAGGGTCACCAGGACGGTGAGGACCAGGCTGAGATGGACGGTGGGGCTGACATCCGGCCAGGCAGCTTTGGGGCCGTGAAGTTGCCTTTTCTGATCCCCATGAAGGAATTCTCCAGACTAAAAGAAAGTGGTGAGATATCTGAGCAGGGCCAGTGGTGGGTGATGGCTGGGTGGCTGGAGAGGGGGCAGGCGCCCATGGGTGAGGGATGGCAGACGATTCTGTCTTCTCTGCCCTTGGCCTCCCACCAGGGGGGCAGACCTGTGTGCCCTACCAAGTGGGGCTGCGCCTCCACCTTCTGTCTGAGTGTCTGGGTCAACGTGGGGCCTCGGGTTGACCTCTTTGGAAGAAGGTCACGCCTCTGGCAATGATCCCCTCTGTTTTCATCCAGCCCGGACGGCAGCCTCTTTCATTCGCCTGAATCTTAGAGCGTGTGTGGAGTGGCCCATTTCGCTCTTCCCACCTCCTCCCAACATCCTCCACATCCCAGTCACCTGAGTTGCCCACTGGCCTGTGAACTAAAATTACAGGCGAGGTTCAGGGCAGAGCCCGGCATGGGCAATTAGAGCCTGGAGGCCAAGAAGCCGGTTAGAGTGCTAGGAGGCGTCTTTTCCAGGCCGGGTTGTGGGTCAGGGAAGGTAGGCCCACCCTGGGATCGCCCCCCTCCCACATTTATGGGCAGGGCTCCTGGGTCCATCGTGATGCCGGGGGGCTGGCAAGGGTCCTGGTGTGGCTGAGCCCGTGTGGATCTCGGGGGAGCAGGGGGAAAGTCTCATCTTGGCTGCCACTGATGAAGAAGAAGAGGGTGGATATTGCTCCGGAACATAACACGCCGTGAGCTTGTGAAGTATGTCGGATGCCATCCCTCTGGTTTTCTGAAAGTAAAATGCTGGGCGGCAAGGGAGATGCTCCAAAATCGAGTTCAGTGCCAGTCTGCAGAGGGATCTGAGTCTGGGGCTTTGGGGAGGGCTGGGATACAGGTGTAGGTGCCCAGAACGGCTCTCTGAGGCCTGGACAGAGTGGGGTCCGTGACCTCAAACCTCGAGGATGAGGAGACAGGAGGCGCAAAGCCCTTCTTACCTTGACACATGTTTTCACTCTCATTCCTGAACGTCATCTCGGGAATCAGCTCCTGCCCTGGGCCGCACACGCAGTATCTCCCATCCACGCCCTGGCAGTCAACGTAGGGTACACAGGGCGTCCTCCAGGGTCGCTCACACATGTTGATGTCTGGAATACAACCACGTAAGCTTATTCCTTCCACTTTCAAAGGAATAAGTCCCCACAGGCAGAGAGCCCGGTCGCCAGCCCGACCCGACAATGAAGGCTGGACAGACGCAGCTCCCGGGCAGCACTCCCCAGGCTGGACTGAGCAGGGCCGGCTGCTCCAGAAAGCCTGCTGATGGCCGTCTCTGCTCTCTGGCTGGGCCTGAGGGCCACCTAGATTCAGATGCTGCTGTTCCAGGATGGGGGCTGGAAGGAGGCCTGCATCCCCTTCTGTAGACCTTGTGGGATAAACAGAGGCGCTGAGTCAGGGTCCAGACCCTTCCCTGTGGTGTTCTCTGTGCCGCTGGAGACCTGGGGGTGGGCTCTCAGGGTGCCTGGGGGCTGTCTAGGGTGACACATGACACGCAGCATTCACACCTGAGGATAGAAGCCGGTGGCCAGGTCCCTGAGCGTTGATGGCTTACTCACACCTCATAATTCTCATCAGGCCCTCCCCCAAATCCCAATGTCAGGCCTTTTCTAGATGCCCCAGGATGTCTCTGGGGGAATTCTCTTTAATCAGAGCCTATCGCAGATACGAAATGAGGAAGCACCATGAAGTTGCTCACAGCTGAGTTATTGCAAAAGGTGGGTTCCTGGCCTCCTAGCTCTTCCTGTTCTGTAAACGT